TCAATCAATAATCATTCAAACCATGACGAATCATTAAGCAAACCACAAAATTATTCTCCATATTATATGCATTCAGAAGTTTTAAGTCTCGGAGTAATATAGAAGATGTCGCATTGTAATTCAATAAATATGTATATAAAATTTATTTTAAATGTATTCAGAATTAAATACACTTTATTCATGTAAATATTTTTTACAAACTTACACAAAAGCTAAAACAAACAAAAGTTGCACAGCAATAAATCAGGAGACATCGAGAACTTTAATTACAAAAATAAACTTGATGTTCTCAAAGCATAATTTAGTTATCAATTTTGAAGCATATTTTCCCATATTAGCAAATACTTCTTTTCACAGAGCATATCTGCTCTAAGCATTTTGAAACAAGTAAGATTCCTACATCTTTGCAAGATGCTCTTGCAGAAAATTTTCTGTATTCCAACTTTTGTAATTCTAATTCAATACCAAATTAGTTTGTTTTGCTTTTCCTTATGTTACGTTGTTTTTTAGACCCTTTTGTTTGGCTAAGTGACTTCAGTTTTTGAGAAAAATGGGGGTTTTGTTTCTTATTTCTTTTCTTTACCTCTGGGGTCACTTTTTTCATTTGGAACTCACATTTTTCATTTGAACTTAGTTCTTGCTTCACTGGGGTCCTTTCCTTTCCTTGCTCAATTGCACTCGTAAGTTGTTTTTTTGCAATTTTCCCTTTCTTTTCTTTCTTAATTTTTCCCTGCTTCTTTAAATTCATTTTTTTCAGGGAAGGCTTTTTAGATTTAGAAACCAAAAGCTTCTTCTTAATCACATTCGGAGGTGTCATAAATTCAATTTCTTTATCGCTTTCATCAACTTCTAGCACAGGCACTTCCGTATTAAGACGAACATACTTTCCATCAGTGCATGGTGAATCCGCAATCTCTCGGCGAATTGCCGGCTAAAAAAGAACAATAATTTTGAAAACACTAGTTAAATCATATCAGCACAGACAATTCCAGAACACAACAAAAGAATAAAGCAATATGGTGTTAATGTTATCTTGCATTTAGCACTATCACTACCAAATTGAAATAGTTGTAATTGTCTAAAAATAGTTGTAATTTTTTAAAATTGCAAATATTGCACGCAATATTTCTTAAAAACTGTTAACATATATATATATATATAGATAGATAGATAGATAGAGAGAGAGAGATAGAGAGAGAGATAGAGAGAGATAGAGAGATAGAGATAGAGAGATAGAGAGAGAGATAGAGAGAGA